TAATTTTGAGCTGATTTAATATCGAATAACTGACCATAAGGAGGTGGAAGAAACAGAAACAAAGTCAAAAAGGATTTTTGAGTGACCAAAATTAAGGAAATGTAAACGTACCGCATTCGCTTAAACGTTACTAAAATCAGTTTTATCGTACTTAAGTTGAGCGGAGGTAGGACATTCTGACCAGCCTGAATACTGTTCATTACCGTTCACTGTTTTTAAAGGAGGGCCATTTTTCTTATTTGAATCACAAACTGCGAACAATTGGCTCTCCAGTGAGACTGCTGAACGTTTAGTAGATACATGTTCGCCATTGGTAAGTTTTCCTCCTCTTGTTACATCGTCTTTACAAGGTTCTTGTCCGATTCCTGTCTGCTTTTTCCACTTATAACGCAAAACCAACGCAACCAACGCCACCGCAGAACTGGCCAAAAGGACAACGCCGACACCTATGAATGCAGCCGTCTTCCATGAAACTTTGAATAAAAAACAAATGTCAAAAAAAGATTAGGTCATAAACTTACGCCACTATAACATTGACCTAATCCCAGATGGTGGCACGATGCCTGTTATATTGGGATGTATTATAACTAAATTGGACAGTTGTTGTTTCATCTGACTGGATATTCAGAAAAAAGAACGGTAAGAAGAATTTCAGGATCGGTGACTGTCCAACTGGTTTTGCTTCTCTAGATCATAATCAGAAGTATATCAAAGCCAATTACATCCTGATAACTCAAAACGTATCGCCCAAGAGTTGTAGTACCGGTAACCCCACAGTTCTCCCATATAGATCAGACCATTTCAGTTTATCTTTCGTTTCTTACTGCAATATTTGTGCGTTTTGCTTTCCTTCTTGCCTTTCATTTAATGATTGTAGCAGAGTACTTTTAAGTCTCTCCACTAAAGGACTTCAACGTGACAACGCCTTGGGCATTGTGTTCTAACAAAGCCCATAGGCAATTTCCCTAACTTATCTAACTTTACATGTAACGATCAAAATTGCTACATGTACTGCAACAAGAAAAGCAAGTGAAAAAATTGATATTCGCAGGTGCAGCGCAATCAGATTTAAACAAATGCAGAAAAGAAGCAGAAAACATTTCAGGAACTGACGGGATTCAAACCTTTGCCTCGCAGATACTAATTGGGACAAAGAACAGATGACCATACCTGGCTGGGGCGGTGGTTTCGTTGGTTTTTGTGATTTTGTTGGCGTGGGTTGCATTGTAATTGGATTGCGAGAGGGTTCGGTTGTTTCAACGACATTGACGTCTGACGTCGGTATGGTGTGGCTTATTAGTACGTTGCCGTCTTCTAGTAAAGGCTTAAGTGGGTCTGAGGAAGTCCCATAAAGTATCAAAGACCAGTCGTAAAGCGTTCCTATAAAGAAACAGAAAAAAGGGCCAAAAGAAAAACATGAGAATGTCAGTAAAAGAAACAACGATAATTTGATTTGCTAGATCACTGAAACTAAGTAAAACATCTTCTCCTGGCACGTGACTGTACAGACCTTTGTTGGCCTTTCCTTTGTCAAGATGTCACATCCCACATCCCAAGTGCGAACACAAAGTGAGACAAACGATTACATTTCTCTTTAGAGTGTTATTTACTATGATGAATAACCACAGCCTACTTTACTTAACTTTCATAACCTGTCTGCTCGATCAATATCGTATTACACATGCCTGTAGGAAATAAGGGGAAGTGTTGGATGCCTGCGAGGCATCAAATGACACAGTACATATTATAAACTACTTTAAAAACGTTTGGAAAGGGTTCATGCCACATGGGAAGAACAGAAACAAAACCAACAACAACAGTAATAACTAATAACTTCGAGACCAAAATCAATATCAACCTGAACTGGGAACTTTGGGGTTAAAGTCATCAATTTTAAGCTCCCATCTCCCGCTGGGATTCTCTCTCCAGTGAAACAGAGTTGCCATAATCCAGTCTGTTAAGTTTCTGTATCCTGTAAGGTTGTCCATTCTTCGTTTTCGAGTTAGCGGAGATGTGGTGCCGCTGGGTGCTTTCAGCTGAAGGGACAAGTCGCCACGGCGAGAGAAATCAAGATTTATTTTGATCTGCACGTGATCCAGGAATTGAATCGCGCAATTTTTCACTTCTATAAAAACTGCACCCGGGATTTGCCTGCAAACGAAAATATCAAACAGGTTAGGTTCATCGCTGCTGTATTTACTCTCACCAGAAATACCACTTTATCGGTGAGAAGATCCATTGTATATTTTAAAGAATACGTCAGAGTATCCTTAAGGAAGATATTTACGTCATTCTTAATGGCCTCCCAGCATTGTGAGGAAAAACGCCTTTGATACATTCAAAAAATATAATTATGGGATTAATATAAAATAATTATGGAATGCTTAAAGCGCGAAAGTGACTTGAACAGTATTTTCAGCTGTGTTATCAGCTGTGATATTCGCTTGTGGAAATAAAAGCATTTAACTTTCACATAATGGACTTGTTACACCAACATGGCCAAAGGTTTATTGTCTCTGTAGCCATACTCCGCGAAGCAAGTAGAATCATCCCATTTCGCGACAGTGTCTAAATTAAAGTTGTTTCTTTGTCCTTTCGAGGATACGTGTGTTCTGTCTTGTTGAAAAAAATTCAAAAGGAAACTAATATCATAGCTTACTTGTTCGTTTCGCTGCCTTCAATCTCACATTTCAGCTGTCGAGGCACTGTTGTCCATTTCTTTGCTAGGCTCACCATCTTGCCAGCGTCCATGAGGCCAAAGCCATAAAACTTGCTGACATATAGGCCTGCTTTGTTCCGCTGCCAATATCCTCGTTTGAGTGCCACCCCCCCTGGGGCTCGCCTTGCACTGTAGGCTACAATGTGCTGTATGTCACGCCAAGTTAGTTTGGGACTAAAAGAGAAAATAGACAGAGCGATGAGGGAAATCTCAGAAAATATAACCAGAAAATCTTATAACAGCAGTACATTTTGAAAACAAAAAAAGTCAAGGTATTTTAAAGTCTCTTGGATTAATTTCGTTCATAAGGAACATGATGGTCATATTGGCAAAGCACAAGACACAAGCACACAAACAAACAGGGGTGATTTAAACCATTATTAACGAGACTCACGCACAGATTCATCCCTACCCTCTACGTTGTTTTCTTTTTTTTTCTTGTTCTTTTGAAAGGTGTATCCATGTGGCTTAGAGCATATGATTCGAAATCTCACGGTTCCAAGTTCAAATCCTGTCCTCAGCCATTCAATTAGATTTGATCCTCATTTGTGCTCTGTTCTACTCACCCGCAACACGTTGGCTGGGCGTTAAATTGCCAGAAATTGTCTGTTCTGGGCCATTTAAACTTAATCAAAATTATGTGGAAACTAACAGAAACTCGTCATCTACTAGGGACAACTCTCTAACTTAATGGCTACAGAAGCTCAAATTTATATTCCGTAATAGTGACCAGCATCTAATTTCTCCTTACAATATCACACCCGAGTCACATATGAAGGTCCCGAGAAGAAAGGAAATGATCACCAACTTAAGAAGCTCTCCATTGTTAAACAAATCCTGTTTCTCAGCACCTTAGGAAATGTCTACGAACAGTATGGAGGATATGCATGCTACAGTTAAGGCGTAAAGGGTGAATTCCACCACGAAATTGCAATGCTAAGGCAAGTGCAGGGGTTGTACATGTTCACAGTTCCTTCTGACATAAAATATACAATTAAGTTGTGTCTCTGTGTGGCTCATCTCTCCCTCTATGCGTGAAGTTAAACAGGATGACGTTATAGTCTTACTTTGCCTGCAGGGTCAGTGCAATCAGCCCGGACGCCATGGCAGTAGCCGCTGACGTGGCTGCGAAATCATCGACACAGCCCTCCTTGTTATCCACTGTTATCTAGTACATGATACACAAAGCAGATTCAAACAAACTAACCAACACAACCACACAACTGAAAGGAAACTAAAACAAGTTTTTAAAAATCTGTAGCAACCAGTTT